GCCACGCGCGGCCTGAAGGCTGGGGGGGGATCGGGAGTGTATGCGTGTGTGTATGTGTGACTGTGAGTGTATATGGGTGATTGTGTGTGTGTGATTGTGACTGTGATCCTGTGTACGTGTGCGTGTGATTGCGAGTGTGTGCGTGTATGTATGTGACTGTGAGTGTGCGTGATCGGGAGTGGCCGCGTGTGAGTGTGCGGGACCGTGTGCGTGGGCTCCCGGAGCTGGGAGCGGCAGGTCTCCCCGAGCACGCTCAGGGCCGCCACCCTCCCCGGCACAGCTCCTCTGCCAAACCCAGCTAGAAAAGCCCAGGGCACGGCTCGTCCAGCCCGTCCTGCACTCCGGGCACGGGGTCCAGTCCAACCCCGGACACAACCTTCCCCGCTTGTAACGGGATTGATTTCACCTGCTCGGGATTTCCTCTGCATTGAGTCCTATGCAGTGACTTCATTCACTGCCCCGCGGGCTTGAAGGGCTCTTGGGATGCACGGAGTCAAACAGCAAACACTGTTTTGCTGTTGAAAGCGGTAGATCCTTTTCCTTCCCAGGTCCCTTCCAGCATAGTTGCAAGTCACTGAAAAGCAACGGCACCTAATCCGGGTATGCCAACGGGCTCTAGCAGTGATGCTCAGGCTGGGTGTCAGGGCACTGGAGGAAGGCTGCCTTCAAGTCCTTGGAAGGTACCTGGAAGTGTCAGGAGATAAGCACAGGCTGAGGCTCCCTGCCTCCACTGCCTCCACTGCAAGGCAGGCGGACAAGATTCTTCGGGTAAATGTGATTATCTTTTATTAGACCGACTAAATAGCTGGAAAATGTTCTTCGCCAACTTCCACGTGCAAACACTCTTCTTTGCTCGAAAGCTTGCAAAGAACATTTCCCCCAACTATTTAGTCGGTCTAATAAAAGATGTCACATTAACCCAAAGAACCTCGTCCGCCTTTGTCCTTAGACCAACACGGCTACAACCAACACCCCCGAAACCTGCAAGAAGAAGATAAACACTGTAATAAGGAAGTTATTTTTTCAAATGGGGTGCCGATCAAGTCTCAGCCGCTAGTTAGCGGTGCCTTGGGTCTAAATGGGTTGAGAATCACTGGGCTATAGGAAGTGGCAAGCGATTATGGATACTATGGTTCAGATTATGTGGCAAATATAAGTGGAAGCCTGCAGCTCTCTCCAGAAGTGCACCGGAGTTAGCGCATCTCCCCGGCTGTGCTCTGGAGGAAACCCGGCAATGTGTGCCCTGACAAAGGCAATGCACGAGGGCGATCTAGAGCAGCCTAGGGGGGACTCCGCTGCAAGGTGCTTGTGTTAAAATACTGTCTAGTTTGCAGGGACCTGATGCCTACAGCTCTGCCTTTCATTTCTCTCCCCGCCAAACCGGCCCCTCCTCTCTGGCACCTAAACAGCTTCCAGGGCCGGTTTCGCTCAGCACGTCGCGATTTGCTCCTCACGCTGCTGTGTCCCTACTCTGGGGCACATGAACTTCGCCTTCTTTACCAACGCTTGACTCGAGAGGAGATTTCCATGGCACACTTGCCAAGTGAAGCTGACGAGACTATTTGTTGCGCCCCTGAAACGCACGAGTGATACTTCGCAACTGGATCTCTTGAACTTGCTTTGACACTGGATGCTCTCTCTCTGGCTCGCACAAGCTGCTGCTCTGGGAAGGGACACCCAGAAAGGCGCTGGGGTTTGCTCACCGGGCCTGCCTAGCACCTTCCCTACTAGCGCCCCGGATCGCCTATAGACACACTTCTATGTAGAGAGAGAGAAACAGACACACACATCAGGTTTTCCTGTTTCCCCTTCCTCTGGATTGTTTATACAGGTGCGGTCCGGCCGCTTTCCTAGCTAAAGATTAATGGGAGAAAGTGCTGGATTTCTCTAAACAGAGAGCGAAATGGTGCCCGGCCCTAAGAGCGACATCGGGAAATGTCACCTGTCCCGCCCGGCTCTTCCGCGGGTGAAGGTCTGCAAGTAAGAAGAGAGTTCATGGGATGTAGCCACGTGGCGAACAGGGAAGGGGGGAGACAGTCTCCCAGATCTCCTCTCTGGCTAATTCCTGATTGTTACGGAATTTGGGCCAACATTACCACTGGTGTAAACCAGAAGTCACTACAAACATTACTCGGGGTTTACACCAGCGGCAGCAGAAATTGGTTTCTTGAATTCAGCAGACGCGTTTCTCCTGCGCTCGACCAGCGCCTCAGTTTCAGAAAGGACCTTTAATGGGGCCGGAACTCGACCCTGCACAGACGGCAGTTTTATAACAAACACTTTCATCCTCCAGCAGTTCGTGCTCTTTAAAGACAATTACACTCCAATATTGGGCCAAAACTTTCTTTCCCTGACATAGTGCGGTCCTTTGTGTACGCTCAGTCACTCGGGGCAACCACCTGGGCCAAATCCTGGCTCAGGAGCTGTCCATGCGGAGGAACTCAGCACTGAGATCATTATGTGATGCCAGGACAGCTCGGGCGCCTAAGCACTAAAGCCAGATCAGTAAAGATAAACGACTCCTGCCTGGAGATAGGGCCTTGTTCACGGAACTCACTTCACCAGGCTGGTCAGGCAGGTGTGGGAAAATCCTGTTTTACATGGGCCAGTTTTATATTTGGAGTGTGCCTCCACGTGTATTTTTCTTAAGGCATTTTCTGCATTACCAAGAATCAGAAACAGCCCCCTCCAGAGCTGAGTTTGGGTCCTTGGGCTTCACCAAAACTCATCGCCTGGCTTAGAAACTCCACTCAGCTTCTTCCTCCAGGCTGCCAGCAACTAGGCAGAAGGCAGGGCAAGAGGCTCTCACCAACCCAGAGAGCCAAGAGGTTTCGTTGGTGACATAATCGACTAATGAATGCTGTTAAATCACAGAATCACAGAAAATTAGGGTTGGAAGGGACCGCAGGAGGTCATCTAGTAGAACACCCTGCTCAAAGCAGGACCATCCCCAACCAGATCATCCCAGACATGGCTTTATCAAGCCAGGTTTTAAAAACCTCCAAGGAGGGAGATTCCACCACCTCTCTGGGTAACCTGTCCAGTGCTTCAACACCCTCCTAGTGAGAAAGTTTTTCCTAATATCCAACCTCAACCTCCCTTGCTGCAACTTGAGACGCTTGCTCCTTGTTCTGTCATCTGCCACCACTGAGAACAGTTTAGCTCCATCCTTTTTGGAGCCCTTTCAGGTAGTTAAATGCTGCTATCATATCCTCCCTCCCTCTTCTCTTCTCCAAACTAAATAAACCCAGTCCCCTCCGCCTCTCCTCCTAAATCATAAATCATATGCCTCAGCCCCCCAACCATTTTCATTGCTCTCCTCTGGACGCTCCAACTTGTCCGAACATCTTTAAAGCTAAGCAGATATTTGTGGCCAAAAGAAGTGTTTTCACAGCATGAAGCGTTATTTATATGTAAGTGGAACGAGGCAGGGTGTGGGTAGGATTTCTTTTCCCTTTTGTTTAACTGTGTTGGGAGCAATACAGCCAAATGATGATGACTGAGGCAGGGGAGCGGACACACAGCGATGCCCTGCGCCCACGCGGGAGGAGCATCAAGGCCATTTTGGATGGAATCTCTGATTATGTTTGTGCCTGTAAGCAATGAAATCGGGGTGAAAGATGTATGTAAAATCTATCGTGACCCCATATGTTTTCCAGGGGGCGGTGGTGCTTGCAGGGTATCCCGGAAGTTACGAAGAGTCTAGTGTCTCCCCTCTGGGCGAGCTCTGAGTACAGGAGCAAGGCAGGGTGTTCATTATGAGCTCTGAGTTCAGTCGGAAATGGTGACGTGCCGGCGAGGCTGGCGCTGGCAGGGGGTGCGAGAGGCAAACCCGAAGCTCTCAGTCCTGATCTTTCCAGCTGAAAGCCAGGAGCGCGGGCAGCGGCCCTGCAGCCCCGGGCAGGGCACTCCCCGCACCTGGGGAAAGAGCAGTTTGCAGCCCGGCTCTTCCCGGGCACGGGGAGATGCCGGGAAGCAAGAAACATCCTGAAAGTTAAATCAAAAAAGGAGGCAAGTATCCCGGGCAATTTAGAGCGGGATGTAGTGCCCCGCAGCACACAAACACCCACCCATACGCGCCCCGCCTGTAGCCGTGCGAGCTGCCTTGTGTAGGCATCGCAGACACTGGGCGTCGCACCCCGCCCGCGCCCTCCAGCTCCGGCCTGCCCAGAGGTGCGCAGCGCGGCCGGGGGAAGCGAAGGGCCCTACGGCCACAAGGCTCCGTTGTTTGGAGTCGGCCGGGACACCGCCCGGGCCTCGCCAGCAACACCTGCTCCTCGGGCCAGGCCCAGCCTCAGCCCAAGCCGGTTGCAGCAGTGCAGGATCCGGCCCTGTCCCCCCGAGCTGCCGCCGCACGGCCACGTGGAGGGGCCAGGGCAAGGCCGCACAGCCAGGGCACGAGCCGGGCACCTTCACCCGGGCCCGGAGACAGCAATCGCAAGCGAAACCCGGGG